AAACCAACCAGCCACTGACAACACAACAAGACAACTAAAAGCAATAAAAATGAATCTTAATTCAAAAGGCTAGACAACCCCAAGAAGAATCAAAAGGCCTGCTACCGATTTTAATAACTTTGAAATCTTGTTTTTAGATAGTTTTTTGAGATGTTTTTATGATTTTGTGACGATTTATATTTTTTTTGTTTTATAATTAAGTTACAAATTTAAATTATTAATCAATTTATAGGATTATATAAGTGTATATGTCATGCATACAAGTCCACTCTACCTACCCAAAAAAGAACTGACATTAAACCTTAAATTTAACAACTTTGATCTCAATTCTCATAAACTGTAGTGTAATCCACCCTTTTCTGTACTCAACAATTCGTGGGATGTAGGCAACTTATATGTCTACCAAATTGTTCTTGCATAAAGGTGATCATATAGTAGTGCTAAAATTCATATTTCCAAGCTGTATCTTAGGAAATATGCTCAACTTGGCAAGACAATTTTTGCGCAGCTAACAATAATCCCTCCATGATCCTGATTTCTTAGGATTTGCACAAAAACAATCTCCTAGCAATTTTTACCTTCTAGGCCATTTCACGAGCAGTAACCCCGTGTGAGAGTTAGAAGATGACGCTATAGTGTTGTCGTGGAGGACAAACAACTCAGCAACACACTAATCACTAGGGGGTGACGAGCAAAAGTGACTGGTTTGTTAGAGAGAGATAGAATGATACAAGGTGAGAAAATTAATCTGTCATTCAAGTTAGTTAAAATAATAATGCTTTTACTCAGAATCGAATAAGGGTAGTAAAATGTAAAACGTGAAATAGTAAGATGAATACCAGTACTCATTATGCATATAAACTAGCACTCAAGCATAAGTTTATTAGTAAGGGGGGGTAAACCTTTGGATTCAAATACTTAATTAAACTTAAGTCATAACTAAAAGGAAGTTAGTAAATTACGTCTAAAATAATATGTAACTCATAATTTCAAAGTCATGAAGAAAACAACTTTAGCTAGGCTTGCTTAAATCACCAATTACAGCAGCAAAACTAGACAATCTAATGACACAGTGAAGAACTTAACAACAAAAACAGTACACAAATAGGGGCTTCTGGTCATGAGAAACAGAGGACAGAGCAGCCAAACTCAATAGCAATAACCATGGTCGTCAGGATCGCGCTATAGCTCCTGAAGTCGTACGATCTCGCGCACCTGCAACCGTCCACCGAGTTAGGTGGTGCAAAGATCATGGAAGAAGCAGGCACGGTTGATGTGCAGAGGATAAGAGATGAATCTTGAGATCGTGAGATCCGCGCGATCCACTTTATGGCCCCGACCTCTTTCAACCCAGCCATTAAACACTGGGATCCGACCCATTCTTTCAGAATTTGACCCGATATCTTCGGAAGCTGCACATGTAAAGGTTAGGGCTTTGAGACTTGCTGCATTTAAAATGAACATTTGAGAATTGGAAAGGTGAAAGTTGTGCAGCCGCATTGGAAATTTCTAATCATTTATTATTCATTCAATATGAATCAGTTCTCATTCAATAAGAATCAATTCCTCTCCTTTTACTACTTCAATAAATTCAGATGACTTTCTTCAACTATTCTCATCTCTAATATTGCAAATTTGCAATTCACATATTCTCTCTTCTGCCCTGCAATTCATCTTTCATTCTCCCACATTTTATTTTCCTTATGTTTGACTTGAGATGATGTTTTCTGGACAATGATTGAAACAATTATGTTTTTAGCTGGATGTTTGGGAGTTTGAGAAAATTATGTTTTTTTAATGAATATTTGCTACTTAAGATTTAATCAATGAGAATTTTGTGTTAAGGTTTTTTCCTACTTATTTATGTAATTTGTCTATTTTGTGAGATCCTAGGATCTTTGTTACGATCCTACAATTTACACTTTTACACTTTTTTCCATATCCTAACAATCTTTAGTGGGATCCCAATACAAACAACCGAGGCAATAACATTTGACAAAAAAAGAGGACTTTGGTTGCGAAAACAGAGTACTATAGAGGATGAGTTCTGGTCACATAAACAGTGCACAGAAGCAGAGAGGGTTTCGGTTTTTAAAAAAAACAGAGCACGGCTAAGTTTTGGTCACAAAAACAGAGCACAAAAAAGCTGAGTTTTGGTCGCAAAAACAGAGCACAAAAAAGCTGAGTTTTGGTCGCAAAAACAGAACACAAGAAAGGGCGAGTTATGCTCGCAAAAACAGATCATCAAAGACTCAGTCATGAGATGATAATGGATCCCAAAAAATAAAGCAGAAACTGTTCACATTGCTAAACAAGGTCAGAATACACCCCGCAAAAGGCTTTAAAAAAACTAACAGGTCTGGTTCTGACCCGGACAAATAAATAAATAAATAATGTGTGATTGCACAACTTTATGTTTTCTGCAGCGATTTTTCGCTATTGGGATATCGGTTCTGCGTGCACTACACACAATCACTCAAAACACCTAAAAACAGAGCACACGCATACAATCTCTAGGAAAATGCAATGTTAATGTTGAGGAGAGATCTAATTTAGGTAGAGTAGGGTTTAAGTTTTTATTACTAATTATGTGAGATTGGGTAGCCTTGCGTTTGGCAAGTTGAAAATCATAGAAACTAGAATTCGGTCCAATGAAAACTCTTCCTGCATATTTAAATCCAGTTTTACATGGATACCAACCCAACCAGGTAATGTGGGTTCAGTCAGGCTAGGTTGAGCAGGTCAGCCCAACCAACAAAAACCCCTAACTAGGGGTTGCTAATTTGGGATTGTAGGCATTGTCATACATTAATAAATGAACTCATTTATATACAAGGAAAGGTCCTGACTTTGCATCAAAATTTTAGTCCGAACCCAAACTTGTCAAATTCCCAAGAGATATCTCAGCAAGATATTTATTTTGATAACTTAATGTCATAAAGCCCAGAAATTAAACTCACTCCAGCAAGGTTCTAGTTGTGCCAAGTAGATCTTATACTCATTCAGCAAGAAAATAGAAGAATGGGGAATCAGTTCTGCTAAATTGAGCTTGATAAAAAAAATATCATCCAGCTTGATCTTTTGTTGCTTACTATGTCTAACCTGATGCAACCATTCCAATCAGATTATCTTCATGCTATTGAAGATTCCTATAACACAGATCAATAGAACATTCCTACAACACAGATCAACAAACGATAGATCTGTGTCTATCTAACAACTTCTCAACCCTCGTTCAGATATCAAACAACAAAATAGTAATAATCAACATAAGTAAAGATCTATGTCTAATCAATGTTGGTCTAATCTTTCTGCAGGTTTAGAATGTACATGGTGGGATTGTATATCTGAATCAGTAAACTTGAATAAATAGCAAATAATAGGGAGGAGATAAAGCTTTAAACATCAGTTGACTAACAAGCATAAAGAAATACATAAATTTAATCAACCACCAATCTAATCAAACGTAAATATTTTTCTGTAATGTTTTAGGGGAAGGGTTTAGTGGAAATGATGCGCAAAGTCAGACAGTTATATTGCCAAAACACAACTCAGTAGAGAGAATAAGAGGAAACTTTGTTTCACAGAATATAGGAAAAGAAACAAGTCAAGGAGAATTGGTAGTTTAATTTACTGCATACTGGATGATCAAAAGTGATCTCTGACCAATGTAACTCTTAACTTGCATTTTGAGGTTAATATACAGGCAAATTTTAAGCAAGAATAAGTGCAAGGAAAATATCAGTTTGAGACATTCAGAACTACACAAACATTTTTACTTGAGTTGCACAAGAGGTTGAAATTTTTGGCTTCCAAAAATTTTGTAAACATGATCCCAAAATCCTTTTTATATTCGAAATTTTAACTTGCATTGAGATTAAAATGACATTATACAGGCAAATTTTAAGCAATAATAAGTGCAAGGAAAATATCTGTTTAGAGACATTCAGCACTATACAAACATTTTTACTTAAGTTGCACAAGAGCTTGCAGTTTTTGGCTTCCAAAAATTTTGTAAAAATGATCCCAAATTCCTTTTGATACTTGAAATTTTGAAGTGAACCTCAGAGTAACCCTTCCTTTTCCAACCGATGGCCATAAGTCGAACTCTGAAGTTTCATCCTAGAGAAACCATAAATATTTGATGCATCAAGCTAATACTTTGGAGAAACATTGCCTACCTAACCTAAGTTATGTTACTAGTTTCATATGGCATATTGATATTTGAACATTTAAACACGACCTACAACAATTTCTAAATAACTACCTCTAGTCATTCGTAAAAAACAATAAAACCGTGTCACATTCCACCCCTGTATTCTAAATTGGTTCCCCTTTGAGGAACGATAATGTTCTGCATACATAATCTAAAGTAGTTTTGAAGTCCAACATTACAGCTGATTGTTCATATCAGACAACTAGTTTTATTATAATAATAATATTAATAATAAGCAATAACAATTTATCAACCAATTGTAAGTTTTCTTTGACCATACTACGCTTTCTGCAGTGGTTTTATAAAAAGGTCCATATCAAAACTTCAAACTGCGGGACTGTTAATATAAACCTTTCTTTCAAGTTTCAATACAATCCCAAAAACTCACAAGCACTGTAGCACTGTCCCCTCTAAAAAAGGTGACTATGTCCGAAACCGACAACAGCACATGTGATTATGTTTAACTTATTCATTTTTTTTCAATTTATTACCGGTGTAACGTGTCAGTGTCGGTATTTCCGGTTTCCGTGTTCACATCACACCTCACAAAATGAAAAACATTCAGAACTTGATCCAACCAATGTCTCATATTCACAATCAAAATAATAGCAATCAAATCTAAATAGACAAATCACAACTATTCAACACACTTAATTTGATTCAAAATCATCTTCTTACAAGTTACAACCACTAATCAAGTCAAAACATCGATCATAAATGAATATAACCATTCCAAATACATCATCAAAAATAATAACAAAAAGTAAACTACAAAACCCTAACCTTATTTGAGAGCTTTGTGAACACCAACAGAATCCGATGAATTACTGATCTCCGCGACTACCTTGACTCCTGACTGCTTCTCCTTCTGTTGAATAATTGACTTGCTTTCAAACTCGCGCCATTTGTTTATTGCGACGGTGCAGGCCACTGAAACCGTTTGGAACAGCGATGAAATTCGATACGAGTTGAGAACGAACAAGAAAGAGATCGGAAATTGGATTACCTGCGGCGCCGACGAAGTAGACGAGACGCATAAGTTTTGGCCCGGGAGGACCTGAGAATTCTTCGCCAGTCATGTATTCCTCCACCGGTGAGTGGTTCCTTCTCACTATCTTCGCTGTTCGGGTTCAACTTCAACCCTGCTTCAAGCAACTCAACTTTTCTACGTGGAATTTCCTAAAAATAAAAATTTATTAAATCAGTTTTTTTTTTTTAATATAATACTACAAATAGAGATATCAAAATGAGTTATCCGAACTTAAATAAATCAGTTCCGATGGACTTAAGTTTTTTAAGGTTAGATCAAAAAATTCTATTATAATATGAGTCTCAAAATTACTATTCGAGTTTTAGATGAATTTTGAACTACTTGACCCTAAATAGTTTTCTTAATAAAAAGTTAAAATAAAAATTCATAATATTTATTATAAATAAAATTAAAATTATATTATTTTATTTTATTATATTATTTTTTATAAACAGTATAATGTGTTTTTAAATATAATATTTCATTTGTCTCACAATAAGTGATCTATTTTGAATAAAATAGTGTTCTAAAATAAATGATCTATTTTAGATTTCAATACACTTTTCTAATTTTACCCTCTAATTAATAAAAATTTCATCATTTCCAATACATCATAAGGGTATTATAATAAAAATATTATTCTCTCTTACTTTTATACATTTTTCTTAATCTGTGTGAAATAGGGTCACTCATTGTGGGACGGCTGGAATACATGTCTAAATTGTAGAAAAATAATACACAAATATTTAACATAAGATAAACTAATAGAATACGAAGAACGAGTGTTAATCATATTAATGTATAATATTTAAAAGAGAAAGATTGAATAGAATAGAGACAAAATTTAGTGGAATAAGAAAAATTATGAATTTTAAGTTCGCGAGTTGGTTAGAAGAATGGAAGGTGTTAGGAATCATTCATATTTGGAAGGGGCATCCTATTTTAGGTTTATAGGGAAATCGGGAATTTCTATTTAAAAGTTAATATTTCCATATGTTTGAGAAAATGTTTAGTTTTTTAGTTATGAGATTCACCTTGGTTTTAACTGCATGCCTACGTATCTCCTTGCGAAGAATCAGAGTCCAAATTTGTAGTTCGTATATTTGGTTGATGTTTTTATAGGATTACTTATAACTGTTTTCGAATTATCCTTGAACCTTGTCTGGTTTTGAAAATTGAGTGATCATAGACGTAGTTTATAGTTAAGTTTGAAGGCAATGCTATTTAATCCTTTTTTGAAAATGTTCTTGAGGTTTTTGTTAAGTTAGAAAAAAAAGGATTTTTGATTGGTTAATTGTTTTGATTAGGTGTGATTGGTTGAAGAAGAGTTGATCTTCTTTAGAACTCAATCGTGTTGGGCTAATAAATTGATTGGATTGATAAAGAGTTGATCTTTATCAAAATTAAATCGCGTTGAGCGAAATAATTGATTTGAGTCGATAAGGAGTTGATTCTTATTATAATTAAATCGTGTTAGGCGAAGTAATTGATTTTGGTTGATAAGAAGTAGATCCTTATTTGAATTAAATTGCGCTAGGTGAAATAATTATTTTGATTGAAAAATAAGGTTTGATTTATGTACATGGAATTGTTTTGGATATTTTAATAATTAGTAAAGAACTAAACTAATTAATATAAACTAATTAAATTAACACTAATTAAATTATTTAAGATTAATTGAATTAAGCAAAGTTAATTAACCTCGTAAAAATTAAATAATTAAACAAAATCTAATATAAAGTATAATTATAAAATATGATGCTAACTTAGTAAAATGAGGTGTAGATTTAATACAAGGTTAGAACCAAAGTCCATGGTCCAAATGACTTAAGTTAACTCTAATTCTAACTTATTATTACCAAAGATGAGAATACAAGAATTAAAATAAAAAACAGAAGGATATCAGGCGGCCCCGTTCGTTCTCATGTTCAGGTAAAGAAATTAGAACATGAAGCAATACCAACATTTTGACTTTTAGTAACTACCAAAAATATAAACATTTAGAAAACTAATAAAATAAAATAAACAAATAGATGGAATATAATAAAGGAACCTGAACAACAAATAGAAGCAGAATGAGTTTCTTTCCTTCACACACAATCTTCTTCTCTCTATTTTCTTTCTTCAATTTTTTCCAAAGCAAGTGTTCCTAAAAAGATGAAATTGAAACAAAAGCAAATACTAATATTATTATTCAAATAAAAATAGAAGCATGGATTACCAATCGGAGATATTGCTCGCACGGTGGTGGATGAAACCATGGTGATGATTCATGATTGTGTTGTTAGTGATTGTTATTGTTTGACTTAGAAAGTTATATAAATTCTTGAATAAAAGGTTGATGATAATAGTAACAGTAAGAATATAAATTGTTAGATAAAAAAAAATATTTAATAACAATAACAATATAAATTGTTAGATGATAAAAAATAATAATTAGTAACAATAACAATATAAATTGTTAGATAATAATAACAATATAATTTGTTAGATAACAATAATAATATAAATTATTAGATGAAAAATAATACCATCAGATAGTCATCATATGGTTAAAAATAAAACAAATTAAATTTAAAAGGAACTGAAAATAAAAGGGAGGCCTCATATTTAATCATTGGCCAAAACAAAGAAATTGCAAATTGTATTGAAAAAGAAGTTTTGAAACGAAGTTTAAAAAAAGTGTGAGAATGATAAAGTAGAAGATTAAAATTGTGAATGTTATGAATTGTGTGTGATTGTCTGTTCAAGACCAAAACAGGGTTAAGTATATGTTCAAGACAAAACCCTAAAATAAACCAACAAATAAAATTGCGTAGAAAGAATGTTTGTGAAAGAGAGAGATGGATAATTGTTGATGTCTTGAATTGTCAAAATAGAAGTCTATTTATAGACTGAAAAATTAGGTTAAAACACCACAAAAGGAAATTATCCAAAATAAAAATTCCAAAGTTTTCTGACTCTGTCTTGGTCAGCAAGATTAACAATCTAGACCTATTTGTGTCCATGTGCATGATGTGATTTGAAAAAGATTTAAACTGAATATGATTTTATTTTTTTTTATATTTTTTTTTACTATTTATACATAAAATAATGATTTTAATAAAAAAATATTTTTTAAAATATAATAAATATAGAAAAACGAAAATACTATTTAAATAAATAAAAAAACTTGATTTTTGTGATTAAAAAAGAAAATAAAGTTAGTAACAAATAACAAAATAAATATCCAAAGTGGAACCTTTGACCTCATACTTGCAAGCTTTATTTCTTACCAATTATACTATATTACTTATTCAAAATAAAAAATTAATTGAAAGTATGTGAAGGCGAACAAGTATTTGCAAGTCACAGACTGGGGAAGAGCATCTCGATCACTTACACAAGCTGTTTGAAAGATTAAAGAAATACAAGTTAAGGTTGAATCCTAACAAGTTCACCTTCGGGGTAAGATCTGGAAAACTCTTAGGTTTTGTCTTCAGTGGCAAAGGTATTGAAGTGGATCCTACGAAGGTCAAATCCATTCAAGAAATGTCATCTCCCTGTTCTGAGAAGGAGGTTAGAGGCTTCTTGGGTCGACTTAACTATATTGCTCGATTCATATCTCACCTAACTGCTACTTGTGAGCCAATCTTCAAACTCTTGAAGAAAGATCAAGTAGTCAATTGGAACGACGACTGTCAAGCAACCTTTGACAAGATTAAGGAATATTTACAAGAACCTCCTATCCTGATTCCTCTAGTTGAAGGAAGACCTCTGATTATGTACTTGACTGTATTAGATAATTCTATGGGGTATGTGATGGGACAACATAACGAGTCTGGCCTAAAAAAGCATGCAATATACTACTTGAGCAAAAAGTTTACCGACTGTGAAACCAGATATTCACTGCTCAAGAAAATTTGCTGTGCTCTGGCATGGGATGCTCGTCGGCTAAGAAACTATATGTTGACTCACACCACTATATTGATTTCTAAGATGGACCCTATCAAGTATATCTTCGAGAAGCCAGCTCTCTCCGGATGAATAGCTAGATGACAAATGATTCTGACTGAATATGACATCCAATATACAACACAAAAAGCCATCAAGGGAAGTATATTTGCGGATCATTTGGCCCATCAAGCTGTTGAAGATTACCAGTCTATGAACTTTGAATTCCCGGACGAGAACATCATGCTAGTGACTGGCTGTGAAAAGCCTATGCCGTATGACGGACCTGAATAAGGATCCCAATGGACTATGATTTTTGATAGGGCTTCCAACGCTTTGGGTAATGGAGTTGGGTGTTGTGATTATTTCTCCTGAAGGTTTCCATACACCTTTAGGAAGAGAAATATGAGGATTACTTAATTAATCTATAATTATTTAGATGTTAAATAATTATTTGGGATTAATTAGATTTAATGATAATATTTAGAATTATTATTATTAAAAAAATAAAGGAATAATGGTGTAGAGACAAGAAGGGCTATATAGTAAAGTTATGGGGATTAAGTGAGGGAAAATATGGAATAACATATTAGTGGTCCTAAGGTTAAACAAGGAATAAGGGAAGTTATTTCATTCTGTACGACCGTGACTTTTGGAGAAAAGTGAGAAGCAGCTAGGGCACAGATAGAAGAGAATAAGGATTCATATGTAGAGCTTGAAAGATATCAAAGCTAGGAATCTAAGGTAAGGAGTGTTGATCATTGTTATTATAATTGATCTAAGGTTTAGATATTTGTAGGTTTTGTGCTAGGTTTGTTTGATGATGAATTGTTGCAATTATGATGAGTTTATGTTGAAATTGATGAAAATCATGGGTTGAATGAATGAATATTTGATGAATGTATGATGTTAAGATCTTTAGATAAGTGTTATATGATGTTATAAATGTTCTATAATCATAGGATTTCAAATTCTGAAACTGGGACTTTTTACGGAATCGAATTCAGAGGTCTGGAAGGCCTCCAACTGCAGAAAATCACAGGGTGAGAAGTGTTGTCTCACACGCAGCGCCAGATGATGCAGAGGAGACGTAGCATCGGGCGACGCAGAAGCAAT